GAAAGAGCAGAGTATCAGGTTTACCAGTCAGATCAGCTCCTTCCAGTCCAGTCCCATTTACAAAGGCAAAACTCCCGCCCAATGAGACCCCTAGTAAAATCTGAGTTCTTCCTTAAGTTTTAGGATTAGAGCAATGGATTCTCTCTAGCCTTTTAAGCTCTTTCCTGCTTAAAGGATTACAAAACAGCCTCTGCGTACTCAATGTAGTGCACAGGAAGAGCCAGGTCTCCGAATACAGAATCCACAGGCTCTACAAGACCTGGCTGTACAAACCAGTAGAGAGCACAGAAGACACGAGCCTGGCATAAACTCTTATGAAGAAAGAAGAAAGAAGACACTTCACTTAGTCTGGGGATCACAGGTAGTCTCCTGAAAATAGAGGATTAATTAAAGTAATCCTTCCTGCAAAACTCATCTGCCAAAACCAAGGGGTCAGTGAACAAGCTGGAGGCAGAGATCCTTCTGTGGATGTAGCTCTCATCCTCCTCCTTGACATTCAAAGTGATGTCATGTTAGTCACCTACAGCCCACAGAAAAGACAGTCTCAGAAACCATGACTTGACATTTTCTTGGAGGAAAAACAATAGTACCCTTTACCTTCTGTATGAACTAATCATTTTATACATTTAATTAATACTTGTCTGTGAAATCACTAGCAGATTTTTAGGGTTGAGAGATGTCTACATTAATATCTTTTAAAAAAGCACGACATTGATTAAAAAGAGCAATTTTTAACTTTTGAAAAATAATGCCTTTGAACTTCCATAAAGTTTTGGAAACAAAAGACAAGGTTTCCATATATAAACACAAAACTAGAAGTCTACAAAATAATAAGCACAAGAAATCAACACAAAAGCCTTAAAAGCTGTTTGGGTTTTTTTAAACAGACTTCTACTTCTCTGCTCACAAGTGTCAGTACAAATAAGATCAGCAGAGACAAAAATGCAAGAGGTCAACAACATACAATTCTAAAGCACATAGATCAGTTTAGCTTTGTTGCACTGAACAGTTCCACTGCTCAATACAATAACCACATAAGTTGAGACCAGGATTCCTCTCCAGTTTCATCTGAGTGCTACACAAACCCGGTTACTGAAATAGGTTTTTTTAAGCAGTACGTTTCACCTGCACACTGACAGCTTAATCCTTTGTACACGTGTTTTGGGAAAGGCTGGAAACTGTATGTGAAAGAGTAAGGTTTGATACTCTGTTACCAAGAACTTTGTATTATTTTCAAATGTAAAATTGTGATTTCTACCATGCAGAATGACTGGGATTTTTCATTTGCTTGTGATTAGTTTTTGGAGGGAAAAAGAGGAAAATTGCTGACAGAAGGAGGGATACAGAGAAATTAAGTCATTATTTTAAGTAGCAACCCAAAAAGGCAATAAAATGTTATATGCCTCAAAGGCGCAAAAGAGTCACAATCTTCCTGTAAAAATTCAATCATAATTTGTGTAGTTGGAAGCTAAGGGCCAGGCTCAGGAAAAAAAAAAAAGCCAACACAAAACTGCTGTTTTATGGTAATGTGAAATTTATAACTCGTAAACTACTTGAATTTCACAGGGAGTCAAGTAAAGGCATGAAATATGCCTTTGTTCCTACAGCTTTATATTGAACTTGATCCCACGTGCATTTTTTTAAATGCAACAGTATCAGACCTGGGCTGCTTAGAACATGTCAAAACTTCACAGATCTCAACGGCTTTGAAGTACTGCAACAGTAGGTCTACTATAAATGTATTTTCCCAACAAGATGTGAATAAGATTAGAAGAGATATGGAAATTCCAATGATGAGAGGCCACCATCTAGTTCATGTAAAGAATGACAACCCTCGAAGCCTGACATCAAGAAAAACCAAACCCATAAAAGGTTATACACAGTATTATTCTACGGAGCTGGTACAGTATGTTCCTTTCAGACCTGCTTTATAAGGCAGTTTACATATGCCATATATGTTAATGTTACTATTTACAAGAAACGTTTGTGCATGTGCGTGAGTTGTTTTTAAAAAGTAAATCACTATAGGGCTCTTACCATTCTCACATAAACAAAGATTAGTTCCGAGTCTTTACAAAACATACCACCACAGAAACAAACCCAAACAAAAGCAGAAACGATCCTGAACCCTTCTAGAACAGATCCTGTGAGACCTGGCCTGACCAGAGCCCCTCACAGCTGCCCTCGGGCTCACACCAGCGAGGCGGTCAGAGCTCAGCCTCCCGCCCGCGGGGGTGGTTTCACACCGCCAACACCTGCGGCCTCCCCGAGCACAGGCTCGGCCCTCAGCGACCAGGAAACTTCACCTTCCCCCAGGCCACGGCCTCCTCCCTCCACCCTGCAGGAGCTTACCGGGCCGGGACATACCTCCCTCGCTA